GTGGTTCCCCCGGGGTCTGATCAACCCTGGAGTTATATGTTTCCACATTTGCCTCGATCCTCCTTTCTCCTGATTCTATTTGTTTGGTCAGTTCTTCGAGCATCTTAGCAATTTCGGGATTAGTTCCTGACTCTTGCTCATTCGACCTTACTATAGCTGGTTCCGTTCTCTTGGTGACGTCTCGGGGTGGACTGGGCTCCGACCTGCTCGGTACCTGGGTTTGAATCTGCAGCTGAGCTATCGCTACCTGTTGAGCTTTCAATATTTCAAAAATCATATGCAAGCTGATTCTGTTTTTCTCAATGTTATGGGTTTCTCGAGCTGCAGATCGAGTACCACCATGAAAGCTATTTTCAGGTTCAGAACGTTAGTTTGTCTCAATGGCCATATGCGAATTAACATCTAATAGTACTTCGACTCGAGCTCCAATGGCGTCGATAAGTGGCCTTTCGGCCCTGTGCGTCAAGTTGTTGTTCTCACCTTGAAAGCCAGCTTCGTTATCGATAGATAAGGCCATTTAATTGAGAACTCGTTGTTACTAATCCAAAATCAAAGATTCTTCCAAAAACAAGTGTAAAATGGTGTGTTTTTGCAGATTCGTATCAAATCATCACTATTATCCTTAGCCCCACGGTGGGCGCCAAACTGTTTACCGGAAAAACGGATAGAGTTGAATTTGTATGTAGTTCTAAGGGTATGTGGTATAACTTGACACAAATCGTAAGAGTAAATAAAAATATCGAATGTTGACTGTAGAGAATGAAAAATAAGCAAAGTTGAAAAGAGGATGATTTAAGGATTAAGCAAGATGAGTCAATCTATGAAGCTAAAAAAGGATAATTCTTCAATATAAGAGTGTATGATATCTCAGTTACAATGTATGAAAAACTTGTCCATTTACAGGAATATAACCATCCCTTTTATAGTGGGAGGATCCTACTTTAGATATAATTAAAAATACATAGTGGGGAACCCATGATAAATCAGTTTTTTTTCTAATTCCCGCCGAGATTTTCTCCCTTAGTGCAGCTGCAACGGCTCTTGTCTGTGAGCTCGATCTTGATCGGACTCAGTATTGGTCGGTATTGGTCGGTTTCCAATTTTAGAGCTCGAAGCGGGTTTGAGGTCGATGCCGACTCGGGGTCCGATAACAACTTGGGCTCGGTATTGGTTGGCTTCTGGTCCTTAAGCTCGATTCCATCACATCTCATCATAGTTCGATTTGGACCCGAGCTCGATAATGACTTCGAGCTCGATATTTGACCTGTCCCTGAAACTTGAAGCTCGTTTGTGCCTTCTTCGGATCCCATCTCGATATTATGAAGACTTTCTTCGGTCTATTATGTTTCGATCTCGATCAGACGTATGAAGGCCGAAATCAGTTTCGACCGTATACAAGTGTGACGATATATTTATGTAGAACTTCAATCCCGAGTACACGTAATGAAAATGCAGACAGTCAAGTGATATTCAATCCATCAAATAATTTGATTGTATAAGACCTAGGTGATTAACCAAGTATGTGAAATCTCAACTCTCGTAATAGAATAATTAATTATATTTTGGTAATAAATTCAATTAATTATTGAGGTCTATTTTTTATGAAATTTAAAACTTATGTTTCAAATTTTATGCTATTTGGAGTAAATTTGGGTGTTAAATTGTATATTGAGTTATTGAAATTTGAAGAATAAATTACTGTTTTTGGGCAAAATTTGTTCACCGGAACTTCAGCCATAAGTAGTTCAATCATGTATATGGCCTCTCAACTGATGATAAAATTTATTATTTCATATGCATACTTTTACAAGTTCAGTCTCGTATGTTTCAAATTTGTTCCTAATTGACTAGATCTACAAAAATATTTGAACATAGGCTATTGCTTATATAGGGTCCAAAATCGGCTATCTGTGCACTTGGTGACTTTGCCCAGAGAATAATGGAGCAGGCCCAGCTCTATCTAACGATTGCATTTCAGAAGCCCATTACCATTTTCAAAATCTCCATTCTCCGTCCTCAGCTCGCCTAGGGCTTTTCCAGTTGATTGAAACCTGAAAATAAAACCCCAAACACAGTGTGTAAGAGTAAAAGCGAAAACAAGTAATAAAAAAACCATCAGAAATGGCGTCGTTTATTCAGAAGTTCTCGTTGAAAACGAAGAACATTGGGAAAAGGGCTACGAAGAAGTACTTGGAAGATGCACTTTACAAGAATCTGTTCAAGGAAGGAGGCGAAGAGAACCACGTTAGGAAAAATCTGAATCAATTCTTGAAATCCCACAAAAGTGCTTACAAATGGGAAGTTGGAAAATCCCTCAAGGTCTTACGCCAACGCAAGCTTTACGCCCCAGCACTCAAGGTCTCTCATTTTCCTAGTTTCTGTACCTTAGACCCTAAACCCTCTTTGTATTTTAATAAATTTTCATTATTTTACTTGAAAATATCTTAAATTTTTGAATTGTTAGCCTTAAACCTCGGAACGTGAGCCTTAACGTAACTGGTAAAGGTAAAGTTGCCTCACCATTAATTGGAAATAGCCTCTTGTAGAAATGCAGGTAAGGCTGGGTACAATAGACCCTTGTGATTCGGGCTTAAACCTTCCTTAAATTTCGATGATACGACCTAAATATAGTTCTTACTTCCTTTCACTTTGGAATTATTTTTGCGTTTCTGTTGATTTCCATGATTTGGCAATAGAATAAGTGTGGTTTTTTGTCTTTTTGGGGATTTTGTGCCTCCAATCTTGAACCTCGTTGCATGTTTTTATCTGAAAATAAATCTTGAGTTTTTGAATTGCTTCTTAATGAAAGAGGTCATCACATGACCTAACCATTAGCATTTCCATATAGATTGTAGTATGTGGCCTCAAAACATATGGTTGTTAATTTGAAAGACACACTACCTTCAACTTCAAGGTCTTCCATTTTTGAAATTGTGAACTTTAAACCCTAATTTGTTTGTGTAAATCTGTATCTTGTCATGGTTTTCACTTCAAGCTATCTCTATTTGATTTTAGCTTTAAAATTGATGCATATTCTAGCTATAGTTCCCACTGCTGTGGTTTTCGACTAGTTTATTTTCTTTTTTACTTAATTCCTATGTTATCTTTTGGTGGCAGCTTATATCAAATAGTGAAAATAACTGCTTAAGGGATTATACCTTGATGCAATACACATATTGTAAACTCCTATTTAAGAAACCCAAAAAGGGGGTTCATTTATCTCTTACTGTAGATCGTATTACGGCAGCACAGAATTTGAAGTGGAACAGTTATGTATAACATCCTTAGCACTATCAGATGTAACTTGTAAGCAAGTAGTAGCATTTTATGGTTCCATGGTTTTTTATAGCAAAATGAAAGGTTAATGTTTGCTAGTTGCTATATGCAGTTATCAGAAACAATGGAAAAAAGGGGCATGAACAAGACTATTAGTGATCAAGCTATACATCTGGATCTTGTTGCCAAGAGTAAAGGGATTGAAGCAGCAGAGACTTATTTTTCGGATCTCCCAGAGGCATCGAAAAATCTTCTCACCTATTCTGCTCTTCTGAATTGCTACTGCAAGGAATTAATGACTGAAAAAGCTGAGGCGCTGATGGAGAAAATGAAAGAACTTAACTTAGGTTTAAGCTCCATGCCTTATAACAGCTTGATGACTCTCTACTCAAAAACTGGGCACCCAGAAAAAATTCCAGCCATTATTCAAGAAATGAAGGCCTATGATGTAATGCCAGATTCTTACACCTACAATGTTTGGATGAGGGCTCTTTCTTCTATGAATGATATTTCTGGGGTCGAGAGGGTTATTGATGAAATGAAGAGAGATGGTCGTGTAGCTGATGATTGGACTACATATAGCAATTTAGCATCGATTTATGCAGATGCTGGCTTAACCGATAAAGCAGTGAAGGCACTCAAGGAACTGGAAAAGAAAAATGCATGTCGCAATGTTACTGCTTACCAGTTTCTGATCACATTGTATGGCCGTGTTGGAAATTTGTTGGAAGTATATCGTGTATGGCGTTCTTTGAGGCTTGCTTTTCCCGGAACGGCAAACATAAACTATCTTAACATGATCCAAGTTTTGGTTAACTTGAATGACTTACCGGGTGCTGAGAAATGCTTCAAGGAATGGGAATCTGGATGCCCAACTTATGACATACGTGTAGCAAATGTTCTTATAGGAGCTTACACTAAACAAGGTTCTTTGGAGAAAGCTGAAGAGCTCAAGGAACGGGCCCGAAGGAGCGGAGCTAAGCCTAATGCTAAGACATGGGAGATTTTCGGGGATTATTATCTGCAAAATGGGGATATCAAATCAGCAGTTGATTGTGTTGACAAGGCAATTTCAACTGGTAGAGGTGATGGTGGCAAGTGGGTTCCATCATCTGCTATCGTTAGAAAATTCATGAGTCATTTTGAACAAAATAAAGATGTCGATGGTGCAGAACATTTTATGGAAATTTTGAAGAAGGCTAAGGATGAGTTGGGGGTTGACATATTTGAATCTTTGATAAGAACTTATGTAGCTTCTGGAAAAACAAGTCCTATCATGCGTCGGCGGATTAAAATGGAGAATATAGAGCTGAGCGAAGAAGGTAAAAGATTGTTGGACTCCATCTCTGTGGAGTGAGATCATTTGTTAGGTAATTGACATGCCTTGAGCTTTCACAAACTGAAATAGAGATCTGAGTTTTCAGCATATTGTTGCGAGATTTGGAGCTACCCTTTTTATTCCAAATAGGATCTATTTGGACAGTGTATGCTTGAATTTGTAGTCCTCGCTGCCATGAAACGAAATAAGCGTAAATTGAAACACAGCCTTACGCAGATATTTTCCTTGGTTAAATTGTAGACTTTTCAGCTATTTATAGATCCACATGCTAGTTTATTATGGATTACATGATTGTTTTGTTTTTGGATCTAGTGTTGATAATGAATATTGCCCGAGATTAATGTTTACACGGATTATATCCGGCAAAATTTTTATACAAGTGTACTGAAAAGAATATTGATCACAAACATTTTCATCTTGTGTTACTTAATCATTTATACTTGGTCTTTCCAGTTTTGGTATTTAGTCTGTTCAACAAAACTTTCCTTCTAGTTGGCAGCTCTAGCAAAACATGAAATATCTTTACAATTTGAGTCGTCAGCACAAGATTCACTTCAGTTTATTCCTGCCACTCAATTGGTACTGACAAGCTTAGGCCTCCACAATTTCCATACCAGCAACTTGTTTTCTTTAGGAATATGTTCTACCAACCTTCTGCTTGCACTTAGACACCTTACTCTGAATTTCTCATCCTCGACTCTCGTGGTTGTACTTTCTTCTATTGGGATTTCTGGACTTTTTGCTTCAGTTGCCTCCACGAGCCGATTCACCATCTCCAAAACCTCACTCATTTTAGGACGATTTCTGGGGTGTTTAGTTAAACACCTATTCGCTATGGCAGCTAACTTCTGTGCAGATTTAAGGGAATAGTTCCCATCTAGTCGAGGATCCAAAATTTGTTCAAACTTCTTCAGGTCTGAAAGATGTGGTCTCACCCATTCCAGAAGTTTCTGCTCATTTTTAGGTTTATTTCTGTCCAATGGACGCCTTCCGGTAATGAGTTCATATAGAAACACCCCATAGCTCCATACATCGCTCTTGGATGTTAGGCGCCCAGTCTGTATATATTCTGGAGCAGCATATCCAACAGTTCCCACCACCTGATGAAATCAAGCACATTCATCACTAATGTATTGGTCTAAGTGTGTTTATTCTTAGAAAATAGAGAATTTCACATAATTATGGCATTTTAAAAGAAAAATATAACATCTATAACATGTTTGGAGAGTGGATTGTGAGTTTGAGTCACTCCAAGAGCACCCTCCACTTCCAACCAAGATGTTGTGAGTTCGAGTCACTCCAAGAGCAAGGTGGGGAGTTCTTGGAAGGAGCGAGTCGAGGGTCTATCGGAAACAGCCTCTCTACCCCAGGGTAGCGGTAAGGTCACACTACCCTCCCCATACCTCACTAGTGGGATTATACTGAGTTGTTGTTGTTGTTGTTGTAACATGTTTGGAGATAATCCATGATCCTACAAACTATCCTAAATAGACTATTACAATCCAAATCGTGACATTTGAATATGAGATTACTTTCAATATACTTGGTTAACTAAAACTTTATTATTTAATAATAGGTGTAGTAGTTTCACCCCGCGGCTTTGGTCTAGTGGTTAGAGCAGCATTCCGAACTGTGCACCACCAGCCCTCAGTGACTTGTCGATTTTTGAAAAAAGAAAAATATTAATAATAGTAGTAGTAGTAGTATTTTCATCCTAGCAATAGTTACTTTCTAAATTTTGAAGTGAAATATCACACCAAATGTTGGTGAAATAGACCATCAATTCAAGTGGTGCGGAAGGTGTAGTACAGTAGTAGACTTCCAAACACCTGAATTACTTTATGTAGAAATATATATAAAATTCAATGGAGGTATTGAGCATACCGCAGTTGAGACATGGCTTAATCCATGAGAAGGGCCTAATCTTGCCAAACCAAAATCTGAAAGCTTTGCATTCCATTTCTCATCCAATAGAATGTTAGATGATTTGAAATCTCTAAAGATAATCTGCATTAATAAGACATAAGCATAAGTATGAAGAGTTGCTGCAATGCAAAATATATAGAATGAACTACCTGAAACTCCATTCCCTCGTGAAGATAGGCCAAGCCTGTAGCAGCATCACGAGCGATACTTAATCTAGTCTCCCATGGCAAAGGTGACATAAAACGACTAATTAGATGATCCTGTACGCTCCTGTTGGTCAAGAATTCATACACCAATAGGCGCTGTATTCCTCTCTCGTCATCCTGCGCACAATACCCTATGAGCTTCACAAGATTCGGATGCTCAACCACACCTAGAACGTTCACTTCTGTCACCCATTCCTTATGCCCCTACAATCAATTTCAGAAAAAAAAACATGTCATACCATCTTTTAATTTCACAAACCATCATATATCAATAAAGTTTATACTAAGAGAACTAGCCTGCAATCCTCTCTGGCTTAGCTGTTTAACGGCGATATCAGTTCTCTTATTCGTGTCACGTAAAACACCCCTGTAAACGCCTCCAAACCCGCCTTCTCCGATCATGAGGGATCGGCTAAAGTTCCTGGTGGCAGTCTTCAACTCATCGACTGTGAAGACCCTAAGGTTGCAGGGTCTTTTATGAGACGACAAGCACGAAAATGAGAGCCTAGAACTGGACTCGGTGCTTATGTCGGATGCAGAAGATTGGCCTGAATTAGTGAATCCTTTAAACTCAGGATCAGTTGAAACAGAGGCACAAGACTGGCCTGATGTAGACTTTGTAGTCTTGTTGTTGTGATCATCATTCTTGTCTGAATTTGAGAACTGGAAACACTTCATAGCCCTTTGAAACACCTACCTGCAGTATATCACAATCACATCAAAAACATATATGCAATTCTTTTTTGTTACTGTATATTATTAACTTTTAAAAGAAACAGTTAATTATCATTGTGCTGATTAACTTTAGATATACCTACAAGTCTATTTAGTTAGCCTTTGAAAACAATAACAGCAATAGAGGTTGAATATTTAAAATAAAACAAAAATAGAACTCACAAATTTCAATGACTAAACACAGCCTAGACAATTTTAGTAGTCGTTAGAGAAACAGATGTGCAGTATTTGTAAGTACTAATTAAATAGTGTATTGAGAGCTCTCGAGTTCTTCAATTTTCCATAATCCCAACAAAGGTAGCTTTATTTCTTGAATTATCACATTATCAATATACTAACCATAAATGGATTTTTAAAAAAATAAAAGAATTTAAAAAAGCGGAACATAAACGAGAAACAAAGAACTAGAAGAAAAAGGTAAAGTCACCTTTGATTAAAATCAATAGATGATCAAGAACAAAAACATGCAGAAACAAGAAATTGCACGAAAAAAGGTGTAAAAATTAAGGAGGGGACAGAAAACTCGCATTAAAAAAAAGAAAAAACTATTTCCATGAATAAAATGGTAGATGGTCATGAAAAATTCATTTTTGAAAGAGAGAATTAGAAGAGGAGGTATATGTTACCTTAAGGGAAAATGGAGAATGATTGGGCAACAAAGAAAGTTGAACTAAAATTCAAAAAAGCCCTAACCAAGAACTGGTTTTAAAGAAGAAAAGAAAGGAAAGGAAAGGAAATCAAGAATACAAAGTAAGGAACGAGCATCCCATGATCTAAGGAAGTCAATGCTTGGCAGCTGGATTTCAGCTTACCAACTTAAAACACCTTAGGAAAATAAAAAATTAACACTTGTAAAAATAATGAAGGATAAAAATAGAGGGAGGGTTTGATTTTATTGAGAAAAGAGAATGATTCCGGGGAGGGGCTATGAGAATCGGCGGTCTCATTCATTTGACAATCATGTTTTCAATTATTTTATTTAGGTGAAACATAGACTAAAAGGTACAGTTGGAACTTAGATACGTTCCAAGGAGTACACGGTTTGCATCATGTCCACCAAACTTTTGAACTCTCATGTTTATTTGGCAGTTGCTTAATGTGCCAAGTAAAAACAAGGTCCCACTTGGGTATCTTTTCTAGTTCTCTTTTTTCCTTTTCTTATTTTATTTTTCTTCTAGAACTTAAGGCTCACCTCTTTTCAAATATATGCCCTTTATTTACTACGTAGTACTTTAGAAAATTCGTTTTTCCCCTACGACCTTGAGAAGGTAAATAGTCACAAAATTTGATGAGCAAGTACAATTAAAACAAAATAAAAGTTCAAACCTAAAATCTAGTAATATTTACCGCTATAACTACACATTAGTTTCCGATAACGGTACCAAATTTGATCACGCCCAAATTTAACCCTAAAAAGGATAAGCGGTCTGTTGCTCCCAAACACACAAGCAAGTATACGTGGTCGTACAAGTAATATAGGTCTGTAAATCCAGATACCGTACCCACAATGACTTATGATTTACTATTTACTAAATTAAACTAAGACAATTAATCTATTCAAGCGATATTCTAAAGTATAAATATTTAAATAAAACTAATCTAGAGTAGCAAACTAAGAAATTAAAGAAAATATGTCGGCAAGCTTAGAGACGAATTCAATGGGAGAAAATATTGCAGAGCTATGGGTTAACAAACAATCCCATTGGGTTTTCTACTTAAATTGTCTAATTAATTTATCTGATTTATTGATTGACTTAGTTAATATTACTCGTAGTATTTTTTCGAAGTACTACTCGCCTATTCAAGCTAACCTAACACCTATATTCCTATGGAATTAGGATTAACAAGAATGCATTAATAGTTCTCGTATAATAACCAAGCAAGACAATTAGGTATATCCCTATCCTAACTGCAAATTCGTTCCCGAAACTCAGGTTCAAGATCTCGCTCTACTCAATCTTATATGCAATGTAGAATTCTCTCTCTCGAGTTCAATCCTAGATTCGTAAATAGTATTTAATTGGTGATCAAGCAATCAAATAATTAAGCGCAAGATTGAATAAATAAACCAATATGATAAAATAATAAGAATAATTCAAGCTTTAACTACAACGTTCATGTAGCACTCCACAACTCTAGAACTAATATACTATGAGATTAAAAGAAGAGAAGAGAAGAAAAACTAGTTGAAAGCTTCCTCCAAGCGTGATTTATGTTCTCCCGTCCAAAGTGACGTATTCACCTCCCAAAAATATGTTAGATCCCCTCCAAATTAGATTTAGGACTCCTTTTATACGAGTTGGGACCGTGTAGGACTGAATTTATATTGTCCCAAGCGAAGTAGAAGAGTACGTATCACCTAGCGTCCAGGCCAGCGCGCTGGCCCTGGTGCTAGAGGCAGTAGCATTTCTCAATTTCAATTCAAGAATTGTAATTCCTCTTCTCTTTTTTTTCTTGCACTTGGGGGACAAACACCAAAGGGTGTCCCCTTTTTTCCTCCTTATTTAATTATTTCATTTTCCTTTTTTTTTTCTTCCGTATTTTATCAATTTTACTCTAAATATTTTAATTTTTACATCGCTTTATTCATACATAATTAAAGTATAATATTAAGCATAAAGTAATATAATTAATGCTCAAAAGAAGATTAAAAGTACTAGAATGTGAGGTAATAATAGTTAAATATATGCATTTTTATTGAACATCATAACCCGACACTTAAACTCTTGCCCGTCCTCGAGTAAACATTAAAACCGCTCTCAATAAATCACGCTTAGAAACGCCACCACTTCGATTGATACTAACAATTAGGCCCTATAGCAACTCAAACCATCAGATATATACTTACCACTTAGTATATTATACGTAAAAGGTTTCTGATACATCTGGAAAAATCGAAACCAAGACTAGAAAATTTTAACAAACAAGATCAAGAGATCATCATGCAAGATATACAAGTCACAAACAAACAACAAACTTCTAACCTCCTAACCTCATATAGGGACTCTAACTCACCAAATTTAAGCTCGCTCACCTAGTCTATCAAGTAAAGCTAATAGCATCACTTATTGTAATGACCCGACTGATCGTTTTGAGAATTAGCATCCCGTTCGGTGGCTTAAGATCTCGAGAAGCTTCGTACTATATGTTATGACTTGTGTGTGCGGTCGAGTTCGGTTTTCGGATGATTCAGGATCAATTTGGAAAAAATATTCTTGTTTTAGAAGCTTAAGCCGTAAGATTTGATCGGAATTTGAATTTTATGTAGACGACTCCAAAATAACATTTTGATGATTCCAATAGTTTCGTATGGTAATTTTGGACTTAGACGTGCGCCCGGATTTGGATTTGGAGATCCGTAGAGTAATTTGATGCATTTTGGCGAAAATTGGAAAGTTAAAATTTTGAAAGGTTGAGAGGTTTGACCGAGAGTTGACCTTGGTGATATCGGGGTCGTAATGCGATTTCGAGGGTTGTATTAGCTCCGTTATGTCATTTGGAACTTGTGTGCAAAATTCGACGTCATTCCGGTTGATTTGATATGTTTCAGCACGAGTTTTGGAAGTTGGAAGATTTGAAAGTTCATACGTTCGATTCGAGGTGCGATTCATAGTGTCGATATTGTTTGATGTGATTTGAGGCCTCGAGTAGGTCCGCGTTGTGTTATGGAACTTATTGGTAAATTTGGACGGGGTCTCGGGGGCCCCAGGTGTATTTCAGACGGGTTTTAGATCATTTGGATCATGTTGAGAGAAGCTAATTTAGGTAGGGGTCTGGTGTGGTCGCACCTACAGACCCTGGGTGCAGGTGATTTGATCGCATGTGCGGAGGAGAAGGGGCGCAGATGCGGAACAAGGCTGGAAGGGGAGGATCGCAGAAGCGGATGTTTTGGGCGCACCTGCACAGTCGCAGGTGCGGGATGTTGAGCGTAGAAGCGCACGCGCAAAAGTGCATATACTATCACAGAAGCGACCTTGGCTGAGGCAAGGCATTTCCGCAGAAGAAGATATATTCTGTAGAAGCGACCTGCTAACCACAAAAGCGGGATCCCTGGGCAGAATCATATATTTCGAAGGGTTTGAGGATTTTATCATTTTTAGAGTTGTAGACCTCGGTTATGGAAAATGTTTTGTGGATTTTTCAAGCAACTCATTGGGGTAAGTGTTCTCTACCCGAATCTTGTTATATTTCATGAATCCATTACTATTTTCATCATTTAATTAGTGAATTAAATTGAAAATTTGGGGAAAATTTGTAAAAATCTTTCAAAATGTAAAATGATGATTTGAAGGACGAATTGATGTCGGAAATTGATAATTTTGGTATGGTTGAACTCGTATCGGAATGGGTATTCGGGTTTTATGAATTTTATCGAGTTCCGAGGTGCGGGCCTAGGGGTTGACTTTTGGGTTGACTTTTTAGTTCTTGTTAAAGATTGAAGCTTTATTATTCGGAACTATTTTCTATGAATTTTATTTATGATTTGAAGTTATTTTGTCTAGATTTGAGCCATCCATAGGTTGTTTCACTCGAGAAGGTCATTTTAGAGTATCGGTCTAGCTTCTTTGAGGTAAGTATCTTGCCTAACTTTATGTGGGGAAAATTTTTCCTTTGGATTTGAGTCATTTGTGATAATTGTGTCATGTGGAGGTCGTGTACGCGAGGTGACGAGTACGTGCTCGGGATTATTTGTGGAAATTTGATCATTTAGGGCTATTAGGTTCTTATGTTCATTAGATATGAAGTTGTTTGTCATGTTAAATCCCCCATTTACTAAATTCACCCTTACGTGTCTTAATTGGAATTAATTGCTTCATGTTCTACCATTATTGCCGATTAAACTCTTATGTGCCTTAACTGAAGTTGTTGCCTCTTTTAACGCCATGCTATCATTTTTGTAATTGATTAACCTTAATTGAAATCATTATTTTCTTTTCGTAATTGCTTAACCTTAATTGAAATCATTTTTATCTCTTCCGTAATTGCTTATCCTTAATGGAAGTTTGTTATCCCTTTCATTGTTGACATATTCTTATTTGGGGTCATTTATTCATGCTACCTCTCTTGTTGTCGAATTGTACTTTCGTGGAATCATTGTTACACATTACCTCTTCCTTGTTGAACTATTCTTGTTGAGACTATTATTTCCCTGTTTTGTCTTTCTTTGTGAGTTAGTTCTTTCGTTTCTTTGTGTTTTGAAGTTCTTGTGTTGATTTACTTGACGTATTCTCGTGTTATTGTTGTTGTTGTTGTATTCAATGTTGTTGAGTCGAGTGCTATGCGTGGTTGCGATATTAAAACTGTTTTGACAAAATGTTGTGGCATATGTGTATATATTGTGAAAGTTATTTTGTTGAGTTGTTATGTTTTGGCACACATGTTATTGTTGAAAGGATTGTTATTGTGTTTGCACGAGGTTTCTACCGTGCAGTTGTTATTGTGTTTGCACGAGGTTTCTGCCGTGCGGTTATTATTATATTGCACGAGGTTTCCGACGTGATATTATTATTATTGATACGCATGCGACGGTATAAGGTATGGGTATTGAAACGCATGCGGTGAGATAAGGTGGTCTTGAAACACATAGTTAGTAGGGGAACTACTAGAAGTCATGCGGTGTGATAAGGTGGGCTAAAACGCGGGATGCTATTTCGAGATAAATGATTTTCAAAACTGAATATAAAGGCTCCCGTGGTGATATAAGGAAAGTTGTGATTTATTTTATGATTTGAGACTACGAGGCAGTACCTCGGTAGGGCTCTTGTTGTCAGTTCCCATTCTTTTGTACTTGTTTTTTATTGTTGTTTCCTTAGCATACTATTAATTGTCTTCCTCCGTGTTGCAATATTTGCTTAGTTTTATGTAGCCAATCTTGTTATGCTTGTCGTTGCTTCAACTTCATTGCTATCTTGCTTACACTGTACATTTCGTGGTG